GGCCTATTTTCTCTTTTTTCTGCTTGTCCTGCTCCACAATCCCCGTTCAGTCCTTTTCTCTAGTTGTAAACAGTTCAGGGCCAGCTGTGGCCGTTTGGTTTTAATTGGAAACTGTCTCTTTAAATTTCGAGGAAATCTGTGCGCATGCGTAGTAGAGCCCTCCGAGGTTGGGGCTGGGGTGCCCACTAGTTCAGGCACCCTTATAGTCACCGGAATGGAGGTGCGCAGAGACCAAGGGACCAATGAACAGCTACCAAAAGAAAAGAATGTCCACACCTTTATCTCTGCGTTTCTGTCAGGCGTTGGTGGCCGCTCCGATCCTTTCCCCACGTGGTCTCACCCAAGATGGCGGCTCCTGGAGTAGCTGAGCGTCCCAGACTAGAAAGCAATGGATTTCTTGCTTCTGCCACAAATTCCCCCAGCTGTGAGCCTTCCAACCTTCTAAGTATTCCTTTATATGTGGTTCTGAGTTCTGGGACCATCCCCTGAACCTGCTTGGTCAGGTATTCTGTGTTGTTGTTGGTGGAGCTCTCTGCTGTACGTCCACCTGATCCGCCTTCTTCTTTGTTCTCCTGCCCAATTCAGTCTTGTTGGGGTCCTTGAGGGAATGTGTACTGCATCTGAGGATGGCAGCAAAAGGAGAAGGGGATGATGAGAAACTGGCAGGAGCCTGCCTAGGTTTGCCATGCAGGGTGGGAGGCACAGGTTTATTGCAACTTCCTTAAGGTCAGATAGTAATTGGCAGGGTCAAGGCCTAGATTCAGGTTAGTCTGACATAAGAGTTGGAAACAGTATGCCTCAGTTTCCTCACTCACACAGGGAGAGGATAATAGGCCTTACCTTCCAGCATGGTTAAGAGGATTAAATGAGATAATAGTGTAACAATTTAACATATGGCCTAGATGGAACATGATTACTGCTCAATAAATAGTTATTACTGTTAAGTGCCATTGAGTCATTTCTGACTCTGTATAGGGTTTCTGAGGAGCAGCTGGTGAGTTTGAATCATTGACCTTGTGGTTCAAACCTACCTTGAGGATCAGTGCTTATCCTACAGTGCCACTCCAGAACTTCATCGTAGCTGCCATAATATACCATTACATTATCACCAAAACCAGAATTACAATGAAAATGATAACAAAAGTTTAGTATAGAATATGTGGGATGAAATTAGGGTTGTTTCTGCTTCATAAACATGTGATGCCTTTCATTTAGACATTAATTTGAAGCTTGGCGTTTCCCCAATAAGAGCTCACCTGTCAGTCTGTCTGTCTGCCTCTTGATTCTAGGTGGAGCGGATGTTCTGCCTGCCCCTCAGAACCTATCTATACATTCAACCAACATGAAGCATGTCTTAACATGGACCCCAGTGATTGTGCCTGGAGAAAGAATACACTATTCTGTCGAGTACCAGGGGTAAGGTTTTAATTCTTAACTTTTATTGTTTTTCTACCTTAGTTAACAGTTGGTTCCTGTTACCAATGCCTTCACCCTGGGCTCAAGGAGGCTTTGCAAATCCAGGGATAGAATTTCTCTAAGAATCTTCCCTCCTCTGTCTGCATGGGCTTTGGGAGAGTTGAAGAGGTATGGGAAATTGTCCACTGGACTTGATAGTGAATGCTCTGGCAATGCAAACATCTATAAACACATTTATATGGAGATTCTTTTCAACAGTGAGCTGAAAAAGTCTCCAATGCTGGAGAAAATCTTAGAAAATAGTTTGGCTCTCACTTGAGATGGAGCCATCACTGGATTCTTAGATACTTTCAGGATGGGAAAAATGTCTATTTTTTATGACCATGAGCTTGCACCCAGGAGCTGAAACAGATCATGTGGCCTTAAAAGTCATCTGACCCAGGACCAGGTAAGCTTGAAGAAACTCTTCTTCAGGTCTCCAGGCTTTTGGAGTGTTGTAGAATGACCAGGAAACAAAAGATGCTCGGTATATTTAATTAAGAATCAATACAAAGTAACCACCTATGGAGGCATTCTTCTAGGCTCAAGGGTACAGCAGACCAAGTTTCTGGATATAGGGAGCCTACATCTAGAGGAGGAAACAAGCACAAAAATGGTTAATAAATAAATATGTAGTTCTGCATTGTCCAATGTGGTAGCCACTTTAATGAATTGAAATAATGTAATGATTAAAATAAAATAAAATAAAAATTTTTGTTGCCCAATCACATTAACCCTGTGTCAAATGATCAGAAGCTACATATGCTAATGGTTACCATATTGGACAAAGTAGATAAAGTACTTTTCCATCACCACAGACATTTTTTTTTGGCACGATTGCTCTAGATAATTTCAGGTGGTGATCAGTGCTAGCTAGAAGTTAAAGAGTCATGTGGCAGAGAGTTGACTATGCAGCTCCTTAGCAGAGTGGTCAGGAAGGCTTTTCTGAGGAGGTGATATTGAAGCTGACATTTGAAGGACAGCAGGAGACAACCCCAAACATATGGATACTGGAAGCAGGGCATGAAAAGATCCTAAGGCAAAAACAGCCCAACATGGTGGAGGAATGGTGAGGGGCCAGTGTAGGGTGAACATTATGCTCAGGACTGGGTGGGAGAGCAGGCATCTCCTTGTAGGCCATGAAAGTTTAAATTTCAGTGTGAGTGCTCTGGGAAGTCATTTAGTAGGGAAATTCCATGACTTGGTGAGTAATGAATGGTTTGAAGAATGACAGATGTAGAAGGTGGAAGGCCAGTTCAGATGATGACAGTGGCCATGGAGATGGAGAAACTGGAATGGAATGTGTATAGAAACCTATGTTTCTCTTGTCTGGTGATAGTAAGAGTAAGAAAGAATTGATTGGAGAGTAGAGGAACTATGCGGCTGTTAAGTGCTGTTGAGTTGGTTCCAACCCATAGAGATCCTGTATAGGGTTTCTGAGGAACGGCTGGTGGGTTTGAATTCCTTTGTAGTTCAATCCGACCTTGAAGCCCAGTGAATTATTCTGCAGTGCCACACTATGGTGGAGAGTAAATGATTATTTTACTGACAACAACACCAAGAACCCAGAGTAAGAGAATGGCTGGTGTGATGCTGTGCTCTCTTCCTCTTGCCTAGGGAGTATGAGAGTCTGTATCTAAGCCACGTCTGGATTCCCAGTCACTGGTGCTCACCCACAGAAGGTCCTATGTGTGATGTCACTGATGACATCACTACTACTGTGTGGTACAACCTCCGAGTCCGAGCCACACTGGGCTTACAGACTTCAGACTGGAGCATCCTGGAGCACGGCTTTAATAGAAACTCAAGTAAGTCATGTTTCTCCTTATTCTTCCCTCTTTCCCTTACTTCCTAACTTCTCCTTCAGGACCATGTTGACATAGATTTTCCAGACTTTCTTTAGCATCAAAGCAGCTTTGTATAGCCAGCGTATCGTGAACACAAGCAACCCTAACTTGTACATTTAAAAAGTTACCAATGGTTTCCTACATGCTTTCTCCTTCTGACTTCATGTCTCTGTCAGGGTCTGTAGGTAGAGGGGACACTGACATTGGGACCTGGAAGAAAAACTGCTCTGGGAATGGGGGAACAAAGCTAGGACTGTTCCTTTCTGCCCTGAGAAAGCTCAACCCATTTTATCCTGCCTTCCATTTGGGGTCCACCTGCATTCACTGCATGAGCAGCTTCTTTGTGAAAAGATACAGACCCACCAGAAACAGTTGCCCATATAAGACCATTGGGAAATACACAGCTTTTCTAGTGCAATGTTGTTGTTAATGCTGTAAACTTGTTTCTGACTCATAGTGACCCTGTATAGGGTTTCTGAGGAGTGACTGATGGGTTGAACTGCTGATCTTGTGGTTAGCAGTCCAGTGCTTACCTTACATGCCATACCAGAATAGTATCTGGAAATTAATTGACAAAGAACTAAGGGAAAAAAATGGCAGAGCAGGAGCCTTAGCCCATTTGTAAATAGGGTGTATATGTTTGGGAACAGCAGCAGCAAGGGCTAAATATGCAGGAGGTGAGGAAGCAGCTGGTCATGTGGAGAGGGGCTATAACATGAAGCTTGATAAAATCGGCTCTAAGGCGAGGGTCGTTTGATAGAATAATCACCCTGGCTGCTATGTGGAAGTGAACTGGAGTAAGACAAATCTGGATGGTGAAGACTGAGGAGGGAGTTGTAACATCCCGTCTGAGCCAAGATGGGTCCTGATCCCAAAAGTGTGGGAGAGTAGAGAGAGGAGAGGACAAATTTCAGAGACATGGCTGAGTTAGAAAGGACAGAACTTTGGGAGAAGCTATTAGGAAATGCAGTAGGAGAGACAATGATGATGTCCAGCCTGTGACTGGGGCTGGTGAGAACACGATCTAAGATTGAGACCCCAGGAAGAGAAACTAGTCTTGGGGAAGAGGAGCTACCCTTGGCTTTGGGCTCTTTGACATTGAGGTTTCAGCAAGGTATCGTATTCGATATGGAAATTAGGACCTGGAACTCAGACACACAACACAAAGTTAGTAACCGAAGGCTTGGGAGCAGATGAGATTGTCTAGGGATAAAATATGGGGGACAACAAGAATCCAGAGCAGGGTCCTAATAAATCCTAGAGTTTAAAAAGAAAATAGAAGGAAGGGTGCCAGTTAGGGGCTTGGCAGGAACAGGGTGATGAAGAGAAGAGCTGTCAGTAGGCCCAAGGGAAAGAGTAGAAGGAGGCCCCTGGTCAGGCCCTTGAGAAAGTGGTTTCATGGAATGAGGCTGGTGGTGGTCAGGCTGCAGGATGGAGGAGTGAGTGGTTGTGGGCTTCACCTGAGAGACTGGCATGGCTGAGAATGTGACCAAAATAGGCTTAAGGAAAGACAAGGGAAGGGCCTTCAGTTGCTTTTTTTTTTTTTTTTGATGTGGCAGGAGAAGATTCTCCTCTGGGAATGAGGGTAGAGGAAGGTTTGAGGTAGCATCTGCAATTATGGGATCAGTCAAAGCTTATTGAGGGGTGTATGAGACTGGATGGAAATCAGAAATGTTAGAAGATGGGATGACTTTAACTGGAGGAGACAAAGGAAGGTGAAAACAGATGAAAGGGGAAGCTGGCACTTCTGGGAACCGGGTCTCAGCCTCTTCGTTTGTAAAAGGGCCAATGGCCTGCCACACTGAGGAGCTGTGAGAGTTGCAGGAGATGATATACAAGATGCTCAGTGGAGTGATGTTCTACTGTAAGCATTAAACTATTGGTGGTGGTAGTTGTTAAGTGCTGTTAAGTCAGTTTTGACTCATAGTGATCCTGCATAGGGTTTCTGAGAAGAAGCTGGTAGGTTTGAACCACTCAGTCCAGTGCTTATCATACAATGGTGCTGTAAGGTAAGCACTGGACTGATAACCACATGGTCAGTAGTTCAAACTTACCAGCTGCTGCTTAGAAACCCTATGTTATTGTTGTAAAGTGCTGTTGAGTTGATTCTGAGTCATAGTGACCCTGTATAGGGTTTCTGAGCAGCGGCTGGTAGATTTGAACCACCAACCTTGTGGTCCAGTGCTTAGCCTACACCACCACACCAGGTCAGGGCCACTTATGAGTTGGAACTGATCCAGCCACACTTAACAACAATAATATTGCCCAGAGTTGATAGCCAGAGAGAGGAGATATTGGAGATGAGGTAAGAATAGGACCAAGTAGGCTTGTTGTTTTTACTAAGTGCCATCGAGTTGGGTCTGACATATACCAATCCTGTATAGGGTTTCTGACAAGTGGCTGGTAAGTTTGAACCACCAACTTTGCAGTTAGCATCCAGTGCTTATCTTACATGCCATACCAGCATACCAGTGAAAGATTATTGTGTAGAATGTAGACTCTGCCTAGGCCTCCTTGCCCAGGTGCTGGGAGGATGCAGGTGAAGTGGTGGGATCTCAGTGTTGGGCACCAGAGGAGCCTAAGGGGCACCAGAGGGCACTGAAGCTCTGCCTTCAGAACCCAGGAAGCACTCACCACCATCCTCTGGGCTTAGGGAGCATGGGGTCCCAGCCAAGACCATCATTAGTGCTGGCAGCTGTTGCTTGTTGTTAGGGAAGGTCTGGGTTAGATGGAGATAAGGGAGTGACTACAAACAGAGGTATATCTAGGGTCTGGTAGGGTAGGCACGTGCCCTGGACATCATTTGAGGGGGGCTGCCAATAGATAATTTCTATTCACTATTGCAGCTTGAGAGATCATTCAGCAATTTAAAACTAATTCTAATAGACACTATTTTCCATAGACATGCCTCTATCTACAGCAATGTGTGGATGGGTAGGGGTGCGTAATAACAACTGTAAGAAGGCCAATGTACACAAGAAAAGAGCTGTCTGTAAGAGGTGTGGGGAATAGCAGACTGTACCTGCATCAGACCTGCAGAAAATGTGGTCCTGTATGTTCTCTGTGCAGTGGGAGGTAGCAACTGGGTGAGATAGGGCCTCTTAAGGACAATTGTTGTACCATTGAGTCGCTACTGGCTCATAGCAACCTTATGCACAGCAGAATGAAACACTGCCCAATCCTGGGCCAATCTCACAATCATTGCCACACTTGAGCCCATTGATGCTGCCACTTGGCCAATCTATCTCTCTGGGGGTCTTCCTCTTTTTCTCTGATCCTCCACCTTAGCAAACACAATATCCTTCTCCACTGACTGGTCCCTCCTGACAATATGTCCGAAGTATGAGACACGAAGTTTGGCCATCCTGGCCTCTAAGGAGCACTCTAATTGCACTTCTTCCAAAACAGTTCTGTTGGTTCTTTTGGCAGCCCGTGGCACTTTCAATATTCTCTTCCAACACCATAAATCAAAAGCATCAATTCTTCTATGGTCTTCCTTATTCATTGTCCAGCTTTCGCATGCATATGAGGTTATTGAAAATACCGTGGCTTGGGTCAGGTGCACCTTAGTCCTCAAGCTGACATCTTTGTTCTTCAACACTTTAAAAAGGTCTTATGCAGCAGATTTGCCTAATGCAATACCTCATTTGATTTCTTGTCTGCTGCTTCCATGAGTGTTGATGGTTGATCTAAGGAGAATGAAGTCCTTGACAACTTCAATCTTTTCTCCGTTGGTAAGAATTTTATTTAACGGTCCAGTGGTGAAGATTTTTGTTTTCTTTACATTGAGATTCAATCAATACTGAAGGATGTGCTCTTTGATCTTCATAAGTAAATGTTTCAAGTCCTCTTCACTTTCAGCAAGCAAGGTTGTATCATCTGCATATTGCAGGTTTTTAATGAGTCTTCCTCCAATCCTGATGCCACATTTTTCGTCATATAACCCAGTTTCTCGGATTATTTGCTCAGCATACAGGTTAACATTAAATCTGTTCATTTGCATGTGAACATGGTTACTCGTCTTCTCTCCAAGCCTGTGAAAAATGGTTTTTTAAGTCTCTCCTGAGAGGCACTTCCTACTCTTAAAGGAAACCTTGTTGAGAGCAGTTCTTAATCGTGAATGTTTATTGAAGTCACTTAAGTCAAAAAGCCAAACCCACTGCCGCTGAGTTGATTCTGACTCAGAGTGATCCTATAGGACAGATGAGAACTGCCCCATAGGATTTCCAAGGCTGTAAGCTCTGGTAGCGTAGTGGTTACGAATTGAACTGGTCTGCGAACCGTAAGATCAGTAGTTCAAAACTACCAGCTGCTCTGCGGGAGAAAGATGAGGCTGTCTGCTCCCATAAAGATTTACAGCCTCAGAAACCCTGTTCGGGGTCGCTATGGGTCGGAACTATCTCGAACAGGCACTTAACAATAACAACAACAAGCTTTACTGAAGCAGATAACCAGCAACCTTTCTGTTTACAGCTAGGGCTTGACCATTTTGCCACCAGGGACTCATCAGGAGCCATCTTAAAAAACCCAAACCTGAGCTCACTGCCATCAAGTTCACTTTGACCCTATAGGACATGATAGAACTGCTCCTTAGGATTACTGAGACTAAATCTTTATAGGAGCAGACAGTTTCATCTTTCTCTCTTAGAGATGCTACTAGGTTTGAACTGTGGGCCTGGTGGTTATCAGCTTAATGCCTAATCTACAGTGCCAGTAGGGATCCTTCCAGGGTTCATTTTTGTTGTTAAGTAGTGCTGACCTTGTATAGGGTTTCCTAGGAGCAGCTGGTGTGTTTGAATTCCTGACTTTGTGGTTTGATGTCCAGTGCTGATCCTAACAGTACCACATCAGGAGTCCCCAGGGCTTCTTCGGAACTTTATACTCCACTGATGTCTGGGGCCCACCCTTAGAGAGTCTAATTTAAACAATTGGTGTATTGTTTGTTTATTGGGAATTAAAAAGAAATCTCTGTGGTGGTTATTCTCATGCAGAGCTGTGGTTGAGATCCACTACTTTAGAGACTAAACGTCCCTCAGTGTTGTTGTTAAGTGTCTTTGAGTCAGCTCCAACTCATAGCAACCTTGTATAGGGTTTTCAAGGAGTTTGAACCATCAACCTTATGGTTCAAACAGACCTTGAGGTCTAGTGCTTGTCTTGCAGCACCATACCAGCAATCTAGATGGCTCTTCTGGCCTTGCAGTGTCTAAATTTGAGAGGCAAGCATGACTCTGTCATCATCAGTAGCCAGGGAGTTGAGAATGCCTGTGGGGGCCCTTCTCTTCTTGGCCCGCTGATGGGAATGTATCTGCAGGGGTTGTTGGCCTCTCTGGAATCCGGAAGGTGAAAGATGTGCTTGTTTTTATGCTGTAATTTTCAGAGTTGATTACTGGAATTTGTAAAACCCTCTGACATGCCAACAGCTCCTAGTCGGAATATGAGATCAAGAATCCTTGGGCTGATAATAGAATGGCCAACCCATTCATAAGGTGCCAATTTGCTGATTTTTCAAAGTCATCAGCAGTCTGTTCATGCCACTAATCTGTGTATGCTAAAGGAGTGTACATGCCCCCTACAGGTGTGGGGCCAACGGGCAAAGATTGGGCCAAGGCTGTGATCGCTACAAGCTAAATTCCCATAGGTATTTGGCAAGCATTACGAAACAGCACCTGCTCGCTTAAATGAGCCAAAAAAAGAAGCAATTTCTGCAGGAAAGCTAAGAGGAGCATAGATTATAAACATTTAAACCCCAAAGTCAGAATGCTTCCTTGAGTGTTCAGTAATTTTTCTGTATATGTGCCTCCTGGGGAAGGATAAGAAGAGGACTTTATTCTCCTCAAGAGGTGGCAAAGGAATTTACAGTAAATCTTGATCACTTTTTACTTCATTCATTCATCTTTCCAAAAGCAATTACTGGGTACCTGCTGAGTACAGGAGAGTATTCATGTGCATGCTTCCACATGCTGTGGAGCTCCAACCAACCCCATCCTTTCTTCATAGGGCTGGCATGTTTCCACCAGAGACTTATCCCCATATTCCAGGGAAATCAGTGCTGTCCAGGCTGACTTTGATTCTACTTTTCTTTTTGTCAATAGCCATCCTCACTCCACCCAAGATAGAGGTTACCAAGGATGGCTTTTATCTGGTTATTGAGCTAGAAGACCTGGGGCCTCAGTTTGAGTTCCATGTGACCTACTGGAAGAGTGAGCCTGATGCCCAGGTGAGACTTCTTGCCTTGACTTTTGAATCAGTCTTCTGCTTTTCTGAAGTTTTGGCAGAGGGGGCAGACTCTGAGGGGTGGCAAGGCAAGCTGGCCTTGCCCAGTGCTCACTGTCTGAGATGGCCTGAGGATGAACAGAGAGACTTATGGGAAAGGAGAGATGAGATTATGCCAACAAACCTGGAAGGCTCTTCATTAAAGAACTGTATTGGTCCAGGTAGGTAAGATTTGCCAAAGTGTGTGAGCTGCCTCCTTACCCTAAATTCTAACATAGGTGAGGCTACAACACCTTTCAATGCATTTCTTCCTTACCCACTGGTCTCCTCAGAAACTAACCCTGGCATGTTTTGGATCAGTAGGCCTGATTGTTTCAGAGCAATCTTCTATTGTAGGATTAATAGACTTTATTATAAATAGGATTAGTATGAATCATTATCTATCACTATTATAGACAAATCTGCCACAATCTATGACCAGAGCTGACACAGAACCAAGTCTTGCTTCATCTGGTGGGTCCTCCCTATTGCACACTTTCTGTGGCCCTCTGCCCTGCTTGCTCACAGGCCTGATCCTTCCTACATGAACCTAAGACTCTACACATTCCCCAACTCTTCAAGACCTCCTAGGCCTGATTCCCTTTATTGTGTCCCTCTTTTTTGTCCTTGCCTTCTAGCCTCAGGTATTCAGCTTTCCAAGACTGAATTCCGGGAAAAGGGGTCTGATTAGTACTGCTCATGTTATTATGTATCATGGATTGCAGGGTGCAGGTTGCTGTCCTCATATTGGGTCCTTTGTGGCTCAGTGGTACCCCTTACCTCATAGAGGTATTTGGGGGAGGGAGGGCAGCTGGCATGTGCTCCACCAACCACTAAACAGGAGCTGTAAGTGGAGGCAGGTGGAGCAGTCACTGATGCTGATTTCTAGTATTTACCTATTTACTGTCTTTCCTGATAAATCAGGGCCCAGTGATAGAACATGCATTGTCAGCCAGGAAGATGGAGTAGTGTGGGGACAGGTCAGGCCTGGGCATGAGGGTGCATGCAGCTCCCTCTGGTTGTTTGGGCTGAGCCCATTTCCCACCCTTGGTAATTGGCACAACTTGTGCTGAGAAAGGTGTGTGTACGCTGAGTCATTTGGGCCTGGCCGAGAGAGGCCTTCACAGGATCAGACATGCATCAGAGACCTGGGGTTTAGGATGAAGGTGGAGGGATGGACATATAGATGAGTGAGGGGGCACTGTGCGCTTATCTCCCCTATGACATGGCCATGCCAGATATTACCCCGTCAGAGAGGTTTTCCCTGACCGTCTGTCTAAAATAATGCATCCATCACTCTATCCCTTGTCCTGTTTCATTTGCTTCATAGCACTGTGACTCGTATTCATATATTGTCTGTCTCCCCTCATGTGAGCTCCAGGAGGGCAGATACTTTTCCCATTTTGTTCACTGCTGTGTCCCAGTGCCTAGAACAGTATGTGACTCATAGTTGTTGTTGTCAGGTGCCATTGAGTTGTTTCTGACTCAAAGTGACAATACACACAAGGGAATGAAACACTGTCTGGCCCTGCACCCTCTTCATAATTGTGATGCTAGAGCCCATTGCTGCTGGCATCGTGCCATTCCTTCTCATTAGGGTCTTCCTTTTTTTTGCTTACCCTGCACTTTACCCTCCTAGCTTCTAAGGAGCAGACTGGTCGTACTTTTTCCAACACAGACCTGTTTGTTCTTCTGGCAGTCCATGGTACTTTCAATATTCTTCTCCAACACCACAACTCAAATGCATCAATTCTGCTCCAGTCTTCCTTTTTCATTGTCCAACTTTCACATGTATATGAGGCTATTGACAAGACTATGACTTGGATTGAATGCATCTTAGTCCTCAAACTGATATGATTGTTGTTGTTATTAAGTGCCTTTGAGTTGGTTATGACTCATAGTGACCCTGTATAGTGTTTCCGAGGAGCAGCTGGTGGGTTTTAAACTGCCAACACTGTGGTTCCAGTCCAATGCTGATCCTACAGTGCCACACCAGGTCTCTGATATCCTAGTAGGTGCTTAATAAATATAAGTGAATCAGTGAATGAGGAGGAACATCCCATATACATCCTGGAAAGGACAGATCTGAAGCTTTCTCAGCCTGGCACTTCTCACTGTTTCCTGTTCTCCCTCCCTCCCTCAGTGTTGTTTTTTTTTTGATCTCCTAAAGGCACATATCAAAGTGGTGAAGAGTGGGAACATTCCAGTGCACCTGGAAACCATGGAGCCAGGGGTCAAGTACTGTGCAAAGGCTCAGACATTCGTGAAGGCCATTGAGAGGTGTAGTGCCTTCAGCCAGGCAGAATGTATCGAGGTTCAAGGTAAGAACACACAGGTTCCCTGAAGCCCTGCAAAGGTGGCAGTCCCTCCTGGTGGATATGCAGATGTCTGCTGGGCTCCTTTAGTTTTGGATCTTCTCATGGTCTCACTGACCTGTTCCTCTATTGGGTGGGTTCCTGTGGTGAGGGGAAAGTGTGCTTTACTCTAATCCTTCCACTGAGGAAGGAGTGCACTCTAGGGCTGGGTGGGAGTCACCTGAGCAGCTCTCTGGAGCACTTTCCCCTGAAAGCTTTGTGGGGTTGAGGCCAGATATACTAAGTTAGGTTTACCAGATGGTCACTACCTGTGAACAGTGGGGCTTACAGGAGAATAGTCTGGGGCATCTGAGACTCAGACTTGGAAAGAAAGCACCCCATTTTAAACATCGCCTCTTTTGTCTGGAAGGAACATTATGGGGAGTCTATAGAATTCTCTTGTTTCAGTTAATCCTTGAATTCTTTATGTTCTAAAATATTTGAAAACGTCTGAAAAGAAATAAAAAAAGATCACCCACATCCCATGATTCTGCCACTCGAATATCATTAGTCACATTTTTGTGAATAATCCTTTAGCCATTAAAATTCTAATTATTATTTTGAATATTTACAACATTCATATGGGTCTTGAAAAAAATATAAGATACACATTGAAAACAATCCTTTTTGCTGATCTTTCCCATGAATATTTGAGTTTTGGAGGAAGCTTTACCTATGTGACCTTGGGTAAGTCACTTAACCATTTTGTACATTGGTTTCCTTCCCAATGAAATCAGGGATATTCCCATTTGTTTTGAAGTACAGAGAAATACACGTTTAGTTTCTGGCACAGTGTCCATAGGTGATAGTAACCCTCGTATACATAGTAGGTGCGTGATATACAGCAGTCAGCATATGACTGTTTTCTGAATTGTCCAAATTTGTTTTTCTCCATAATGGGGATCACTGCCAGGAGCAATTGTGAAGTATGCTCTGTTTTCAGTTATTGCCCTTCTGTGTTGTTCTCTTTCAGCACCTCCCCTGCATCCTGCCTGGGGCCTGGCACTGTGCCATCCTTCTGGTAGCAGTGCCAAGGTACGTGCTAACACGGCTGGTTGCTTAACAAGTGATGCTCCTCCCTTTTCCCTTTCCAAAGAAGGGAGTTGAATCTTCCCTGGGGCTTTCTGGAAACTAGGCCTTACTCTAGATTTTCAAAAGATGGCTTTAATGGAGGTAATTTGAATCACTTAGGCACAGATGAAATCTCAGAATGTTGGCATCTGCCATCTTGGCTAATGTATAGAGCCAACTCTGGGAGATGAAGGAAGCCCAGGATTAGAAGATTCTGTCTTCACTGTTGTCTGTTAAGTGTTTTTATTTATTTATTTTTTATCTTGTTTCTAGGAGACGCCCTCCCTCTGGCGCTGGCCTTGTTTGCATTTGTTGGCTTCTTGCTGCTCCTCATAGTTGTTCCTCTCTCCATCTGGAAGATGGGCCAGGTGCTCCGGTATTCCTGCTGCCCTACAGTGGTCCTTCCTGACACCTTGGTAGTAATGTTCTATGTTCTTTTTTCTTTTCAGTATGACCCTGGTCAAATGTTGGGCTTTAGTTGGACATGGCACATGTTTTGTGGGTTTACAGGCATTTGCAGGGAGGGGGAAAGAGCATTTAGAGGCCTTCACTTCTAATCAGAAGGGCTGGGAGAAACCTCCCTTAAGCAAGAAGTGATGACCTCCCTGGGCATTCACACAGACCACCTCTGCTTGTCCCCAGGACCTTGCATGGCCAAGGCTGCAGGTATGGCGCACAGCCCAAGTTACCTAGCATCTCAAGAGTCAGTACAGTTTTACTCTTCCTGACTGGCCTGCCAACTCTTTCTGGCCCCTTTCCACAATTGTAACAGCAACTGTATCCACAAACATGTTCCAACACAGCATATTCAGTTGGCGTGCCAGTGGCCTCATTGATTCTCAGGGCGAGGAGGGAGTGTGTGTGAATGTGGGAGGCCTGGACTGTGGTTTGTCCCGTGGAGTCGGAGCAGCAATCTGGGCCTGAATGTTGTTGTTGTTGTTAAGTGCCATCGAGTCGGGTCCGACCCATAGCGACCCTGTACAGGGTTTCCGAGGGTGTAAATCTTTACGGGAGTAGAAAGCCTCATCTTTCTCCCGCGGAGGGCCTGAATAGTGACTATCTAAAGTTAGTGCATCCCTCCTATTTTCCCATCTCTTCCCAAGTGTAGATTTCTTACCTTACTCCTGAGGACAGTGGACCACACTGTTACTCTTTGTCCTTACTGATTTTTTATATAATTGTTCTGTCAATTATTGAGAACTATTTGTCTAGTTCTCCTTTTTTTGATGTCATTTTTTCCATCATGGATTTTGAAGCTCTGTTTTACTTACATGCACATTTATGATTTCTGTGTCTTCCTGAGTAATTGAGTCTTTTATCACTATGAAATGTCCTGCTTTATTACCTTGTATTGATATCAATATTGTTTTCTGTTTGTATGATGTATCTTTTCTCATCTTTTAAGTTTAACCTATGTCTTTCTATTTGAAGTGTACCATCTGTAAACAATGTACACTGGGTCTTGTTTTTATTGTTGGTTTGTCAGAGGTTCTTATAATTTTTGACTTTTAATTGGAATGTTTAGTCCATTAAAATTTGATTGCTTTTGATTCAGATTAATCATTTTACTACATATTTTCTATTTCTTCCATATTTTCCCCCTTTGTGTTTGTTTTGGTGTTAATGAAATATGTTTTGAACTGCATTTAATTTTATCTACTGATCTTTTATTTATTCTAATAAACCTTTTATTTAATCTATTGACCTTTTCATTATACTTCTTCACATTAGTTTTTCATGGTTTTCTAGAAATTATAATCTGCATTTCCTTAATTTTCAGTCTTCTGAAAGCTAATATTATATCTTTTCATATGAAATGTAAGACTCTTGCAGCCATATTTGGTTTAAATAGGCACATCTATTTTAAGATATTTAAAATTATATATTCACCCAAATATTTATTATTTCCACTGCTCTTCCTTCTTTCCTGAGATAGAAATTTCCATTTGTTATGGTTCATTTGGTATGGCTTCCCTTCCATCTAAAAACCTTCTAGTAGTAGGTTTGATAATGCAGGTCTGCTGATGACAAATTCTCCTAGATTTTTTTTAAATCTAAAAATGTCTTTATTTTACCTTTATTCTTGCAGAATATTTTTGCTAGATACAGAATTATTGATTGATAATATTTTTCTTTCAATACTTAAACAATGTTGTTTAATTGTTTTTTTAGTCTCAATTGTTTTTGATGAGAAAAATATTTGTAATTTTAAAACATTGTTTCCCTGTGTGAAATACATCCTTTTTCTTTGCTGCTTTTAAATTACACACATACACATTTAGCCATTTGACTATATCTTTCCTAGGTGTATTGAAGTTTTGTTAGTGCCATCAAGTTGATTGAAACTCATAGTGTCCCTGTATACGGTTTCCAAAGAGCAACTAGTGGGTCTGAACTATTTTGTGGTTAACAGTTCAGTGCTTATCCTACAGTGCCATACCAGGACTCCATTGCTTAACTGTATCTCCCTTCAGTTGTGGTTGATTGAGCTTCTTTAATCTATAAACATACATTTTTCATCAAAATTTGGGAAAATTTCAGCCATTATTTCTTCAGATAGTTTTTCTGTCCCTACAGATCCTTGTTGTTAGGTGCCGTTAAGTTGATACCAACTCATAATGACCCTATGCACAACAGAATGAAACCTGCCCAGTCCTGGGCTAATCTTACAATTGTTACCATGCTTGAATCCATTGATGCTGCCACTTTGCCAATTTATGTCGCTGGCGCTCTTCCTCTTTTTCTATGACCCTCTCCCTTACCAAACATGATATCCCTCTCCAGTGACTGGTTCCTCCTGACAATGTGTCCAAAGTATGAGAGACAAAGTTTGGTCATCCTGGCCTCCAAGGAGCACTCTGGCAGCCGTTCTTCCAACACAGATCTGTTGGTTCTTTTGGCAGCCCATGGCACTTTCAGTATTTTCCTCCAACACCATAACTCAAATGCATCAATTCTTCTATGGTCTTCCTTATTCACTGTCCAGCTTTCACAAGCATATGAGGTTATTGAAAATACCATGGCCTGTGTCAGGCACACCTTAGTCTTCAAGTTGACATTTTTGCTCTTAAACACTTTAAAAAGTCTTGTGCAGCAGCTTTGCCTAATATAATACGTTGTTTGACTTCTTGGCTGCTGCTTCCATGAGTGTTGATGGTTGATCCAAGAAAAAAAAAAAAAAAAAAAGAAAGTATTTATTGCATTATATATTTACCCACATATTATTGTTTCTACTGCTCTTCTTTTTAATTAACAGATCCTTGAGGTATTATTAATTAAAAAGAAGAGTAGTGGAAATAGTAAATATGTGGGTAAATATATAATACAATAAATATCTTCTTTTTTCTCTACTCTTCAGATAACTGACTCTTTGTTTATTACCAATTTGCTTTTTAGTGAATGATGTTTTATATTTCAGATACTGTATCTTATGGTTCTACAATTCCGTTTGATTCTTCTTTTTTTAAAGAGCTTTTATTGTGAATTGAGTGATAGTTTACATGGGAGAACACTGGTTTTTTGCTAAACCTGTCGTATTTTCTTTCATTGCAATGATTATAATCCCCTCCATGCATCATTGGTTAACAGTATTTGCTACTATTCCCTCTGTGTTTTTTAATGTACACAAAAACATGTAGGAATATACAATCGTTTAAACAACCAAAGGGCACATTCTGCAAACCCACCTCCTAGCCACCAGCACACAGCCTTTCTCTTTTCATTAGTCTAGAATCCTCAAAAGCTCTATTTCTCCATGCCTCCATTTCTGGTGATGCTGCTTCTCTGGTTAGGGTCCCATGTTCCACTTATGCTCTTCTTTCTTAATGGTCCTACGGTCCTCTGTTCCTGGAATGTAAGATCAACTTTTTGTTGCATAATTTTTATCTTTATGGTTGTGAAAATCACAATTAGTCATGATAACAATTACTCACTATTGAATCAAATGAATCCTATCCCCTCTTCTTTCACCAGATCCATCTAGACAAGATGAAAACTATTCAGTGGGGATTCTACCTTCCCCCCTGACACTCTGAAACTAAACTATGAACTCCTTCTTGAAAACTTGAAAGCCCACCACTTTGTGCCTTTATAGCCTCCCTGCCCCCATTTTAGGTAGCCAGTGTCTTAAGTTCTTCATCTCTATCAACCCTGTATATGGAGAGGGTAGGTTTGAGCCTCAGTTGGTATTTTGAGTGACTATATCTAAAAGTACAGGTCAAGTTCATTAAATTGTAGCAATTTACACTTGCTTCTTCTACCAAATTTCTTTATCTTCCTCTAGTTGAATTCTTATCAAGCCATTGAAGCTAAGTCAAATGGGTACTATCTGTAAGTTTGGGCGTTCTTGTGTGTCTTCCCCCACTTCATGTCAGCTGGATGCTTACTCTCAGCTCTAGCCCTCCATGGCTAGGTCAGTGTCCATTGGCTCAGGACTTCCAAAGTCTCCCCGAACTTTGGCCAACCAGCCCTTCCTCTTCTTTCTCTCATCTCAAGGTTAACAGGAGTCTATGGAATGTGGACAAACTCTATCCATATCTTCATTACTGCTTTCCCCCACTTCCATTTGGCTCTTTTTTTATAGTAAAATTTCTCTTCTGTAATTTTATATTTGCTGAACCATTATGAGGATATTTTAATCTATGTTCTTAGTCATAATTAACTCTTTGTTTGCTCGTTGAAAATCTTTCTAAGTTTCACCCTGAGGGTCATTTCAAAGTTGGTGTCCATTGACAGCTTTTTATTTTGCTATGGGTCACATTTTCCTGTTCCTTTTTATATTTGGCAGTCAATAGATTGTAGAGATCTTGAATTCTATTATGTTCCACTAAAAAGGATTGATTTTGTTTGTTTGTTTCAATAGGCAATTAATTTAAGTTGGATGAGCACAAATTCCAAACTCTGATATTTCATGAAGTAGTCTGTGGATAGCTATTAATTGTTTTATTTTATTTTTTAAAGTTTTTATTGTGAATTGAATGATAATTTACACGGGAAAACATCAGCTTTATATTCATCCTATCATATTTCATTTCACTGCAAAGAAATGCAGCCTTTCATAATCCCCTCCATGCATCATCATTCAACACCATTTGCTTCCATTCCCTCTGGTTTATTTTTTTTTTAATGTACACCTAAGCACTGAAGAATATATAACCATTCAAACAACCAAAGGGTACACCCTGCAAGCCTTTCCTCCGACCATCAGCACACAGCCCCTCTCCCTCCCTGAGTCCAGAGTTCCCATCTGCTGCATCTCTCCACGTCATCATCTCTGCCTCAATCTCTGGCATCACTGTTTCTTTGGATATGTCCCACACTCCGCTCTTCTGCCTTGATGATCCCAGGGTCCTCTGCTCCTGGACTGCAAGATAAACCACTCCCCTCCTTTTGTTACAAAACGTCTACCTTCACATTT